AAGCACTGATATCTGTACAAATGCTTTTTGGAATGTGCATAAATTGATTCAGTTTAGTATCCGTTCCAAACAACAACCAAAATATCCATCACCCAACGATTAGATACACAGAGCAGTGTGCTGACGTATTGGAATCATGGTGCATGGTTCGGTAAATGTACAAAAGAGCAGACTTGTGGTAACACTGGAATGCTAGATTGTTGGAACAATGATCCTAAAGTACTCATTTGGAATCCTAGAATTGGGGGCTGGAAGGAACGCTAAACAACTTCTTTCCTCCAAAAATCTTCATTTAATTAATGAGATTATCAATATTAGGACCCCAAATCATTATGTAACTTGCCCATTTCACTTAACTATAGAGAAAGGTTTCTCATCCTTGGCACTATTGAGATTTTGAGCTGGATAATTCTTTGTTGTGGGGGCCTGCCCTATGCACCATAGGGTGTTTAGCAGCATCCCTATCTATCTGATACCGGTATCACTCTACTCAAGTTATGACATCCAAAAATGTCTCCAAACTTTGTCAAATGTCCCCAAGGAGCCAAAATTGTCCCTCAGTTGATAAGCACTGCTACAGAGTGACAGCTACAATGACAGCCTAGGCTTCCTGAGTTCCAGGCAAATGCTTTGTCCATTAGGACAGAGCTATGAAGTCAGGGTACCATCTACCTCATGAATATATGGAATAAGGGAAATCAAAAGCTAGGATGTATACTTCAGCACCAGTACAGAACATCAGGAATTGAAGTAATAATACCAACAGTAATAATTACATTAGAATAATTAATTACTAAAACAATTTATTTTAAGCCTTTTATTAATTTGTTAAGTAATGTTTACTGAGCACTCTACAAGCCAGACACTGTTGTACGTACCTTATAGACCATATCACCTTTGATCCATGCAGCAATCCCGTGAGGCAAAGCCTGTTATCCCCGTTTAGAAGTGGAGGGAGCGGAGGATTAGAGAGGTCTCAAACGAAGGAGAAGTGAACTAACAAGGCAAGGTGCTTCCCTGCCACTTCCTTCACCTCTACTTCTCTTCCTTTGTTCCCTGCAGCCTGCAAGTGTCACCCCCAGGGCTCGGTTGGGTCCAGCTGCAGCCGACTTGGAGGCCAGTGCCAGTGTAAACCTGGTGTGACCGGGCGCTGCTGTGACAGGTGCTCAACTGGAAGCTACGGTTTGGGACAGCATGGCTGTCATGGTACATAGCAAAAAACACAAGGGGAAACACATTTGTTCACAATCTTGATATTTTGAAGGCAGGCAAAGCAATGCGGGGAGTTGTAAAGGGGTGGGGGTAGTGGAAATTTCACCACATTATTCAGATCATCTATCTACATAGATAAAATATACTGAAAACTTTTCTACCATACTTCATTCATCCATTCATCAGTGGGCACCAACTGTGTATAGAGCTCTATTAGGAACCGTGAGTAATGAACAAAACACAGTCCGTGCTTCTGTAAGTTTGCAGTCTGTATCAAATGGATGGTAGTGCAGGTAAAAAGTGGGGACATCGTGAAGGGGGGTGGCTGTGCAAACCCAGCTTTATGATCTAGCACATAAGCCCAGTGGCTGGAAAGGCTAAAATGACAATGAGATTGAGAAGTCAAGAAACGGACAACACTGTCACCACAGGTAAGACCTGGCCACTGAGATACTGCCCTTTCTGATGCTAGGATTGCAGACAGCCTTGGAACTCATCATCTAAGGCATCCATTGCTAAGGGCTTAGATGGGGCTTCATCCGTGGTTGATAATTCAACAGAGAATCTAGTTCTCTGTTCACAGTGTAAACCACTAGTGAAAATACTGTTCCCCGTGGAAACCTACCTTAGGAACCATGAAAACCTACGGGTAGGTTAACTTCTCTTTCAGGTAGGGGAGCCTGTCTTTTCAGTCCTGATTCAGAGAGATGGCCTCCCTCCTGGGCATCACCTGGGCATGGCTGCCCACCCCGCAAACAGCACCCAGGCCCATCATTACTTTCTCTTTTCTTTTTTGAAAAAGTTACAAGATGCTTGAGATACACAAGGGGATCTGCACAAAAGAACAAACATTTCCTCCCCGTGCCCCCCTGTCAAACAAGCAGGCATCACATTTTTGTGCAGGGAAGATTAGCTCAGGGGATTCAACAATTTATCAGAAAAGGATGGGTCCTCTACTATTTCGTCTGGGAAAAAGAACAGTCTGACCATCTTGAGAAGCGTTCTTACTATTTTTATAGTCTTGAAGTTATACTTTGACTCCTGAGATATATGGAAGTTTAAGTTGTTAAAAACATGTTTCTAGTCCAGTTCTTCCGTATAAACAACAAATATTTGTAAGGCCCAATTGTTCACAACACGCTATTAAGTGAATCAGTGAATTGTTATTTAACTAACATTTACCTGGGACTCATATGCCAGGCTCTGTTCTAAGCACTTTACAGGCTCACTCTATTCACCTGGCCTGGGACAGGGACACAAAATCAGAACTGTGACTCCTCAGCACCACACCACTTGCCCCCACCCAACACCTCTCTTTGCCTTATCCAGCATGTCACTGCCATCCTCAAGGATCAAAGAACACGGCATGTGACCAAATAACAGGACAGTGTCCTTGCCACGGAGAGGTGGCCGGCCGCCGCTGTGATCAGTGCCTGGCGGGCTACTTTGGATTTCCCAACTGCCGCCCTTGCCCTTGTAATGGGTTCGCTGAACATTGTGATCCAGGGACAGGGTCATGCTTCAATTGCAGAGGCTTTACAACTGGAAGAAACTGTGAAAGGTATGGGATTCGTATGCACTCTAATGTTTCAGTTTTTAAATTTTTGTTCTGATCTCACAATGGAGGCCCACTGGGTAGAGACTTAGCAGTATTCAAGCGCAGAAGGACTGCGATGGGTCGGGGAGATCATTGTTCCATCGTCTTTAAAATCGCCTTATGAGCCAGAAAATGTTGGATTACATCGATAATACATATTGAGCTGGCAAATTGTTTCTTATGTTCCTCAAAAGTGACATGTAAATCAAATGCTATTATATTGAGTTTAATGACTATACCTCGAGACTTTCAATATAAAATAAAAAGTCCTTTTACAGAGCAAATGAGCACCTTCTAAAATATTGAGTCTTGAGAGTTGCACTGTCCTAAAGCATAGCAAATCCACATTGATGTGAGCACGTGAGCTTTTCCTGCCAACATTTTGGTAAAAGGAAATTGCCTTGACAGGTGCATCGATGGTTACTATGGAAATCCTTCTTCAGGACAGCTCTGTCGTCCTTGCCTGTGTCCAGATGTTCCCTCAAGCAATCAGTATTTTGCCCATTCCTGTTATCAGAATCCTTGGAGCTCAGATGTAATCTGCAGTTGTCTTCAAGGATATGTAGGTATGTAGTATAGTTCATCATGGGATTTTTCCTTCTATCCCACACTGCAATCTGACAAATGGTCACATTCATAATTTATCTGCCCTGGACAAACAAGTGGTACAGAAATAGTAAGAAGACAAAATTTGCTGATTTGCTGAACAAAGAATTTGAATGGTTCAAAAACCAGTGACAATTAAAAACTCCACTGAGCTATACCTGTTTTTAAATAATGTTCTAGAAAACTAACTGACCAAATGAGATCAAGTCAAATGAATTTATTTAAAATAAAATTATCACATGTTAAATAAGATATGTATGTGATTGCGCATGTTATATATGCTTATAACTTATACATAGTTTCATCTTATATAACATATGCTATGTAATCATATATGTATCTTAACATGTCCTAATTTTATTTTAAATAAATGAATTTAAATCAATTTAAAAATTAGAAATTTAATTAGTCAAATGCTTTCTTTGTATAATTCTAAGCAATCAATTTGACTGATATTTCACAGATAAGACTAATTTTTTTAGACATCTTAAAGCACTCATTTGGGCAATGTACAGACATTGCATAAGTCTTAACTCAAAATTTGTGTCTATTGCTCAATCCAAAATTTTATTTTAAAGAGTTTAAGCATGAGTGTGAATGTATAATGCAAACAAGAAAAAAACTTACGAAGTCTATTTGATTTAATCATACACAGATTATCATACATACATATGGCACTATTGTTTTCTTCAGTGATGATTACCATCATGATAATAAATTACATGACTGGTTTTCTCCTGTTTGTTACATCTAAGGTTACACATGGCTCTAGTTGATTCTTTACCTCTTCTCTTGTACCACTTCTCCATGGTTGGTCAGTTTTTAAGAACTGAAACCATGTTTGGGCTGTAAGAGCATTTCCAAGTGGGAAGAACTAGAATGTGGAGAGTGGACCCACAGGCTGGGCACCTAAACTACTGCAGTTAGCTCAGGGTAGGAAGGGTCACGAGTGCTAGAGAGAAGGATGGCTTCTCCATCCTCCGCTTACTAGAAACACCCTCCAGGGAGCATATGCCAAGAGGACTGCTCTAGCTCATCTTCACTTCTAGACACACATCTCAGACGACTGCTGTTTGGGACTTTCCCTTCAAGACTGCTTTATTTTAACCATAGTTCAGCCCTAGGATCAAGTGGGTGTTGGGCTGCTACTGGGTGAGCAGGGGCAGAGATTAGCTTTGGTTTCTGGGGCACACGGGGGTGACTCTGAGTATGTAAGGACCTAGAAATCTGTGCCCACAGCTCCATAGGTTTTGAATAAAGATTAGAATCCATTCTTCACCATAGGCTTTTTAGCTCTGAATGAATAATAATGAAAATGAATGTGTTAATTTAGAACAATTTTCCTTAGTCACACCAAGCATGTAACTTCTCATTATTCCTAGAGGAGTAATAACTCCCAATAATTCCCTGTTTACATCAATCTCCCCCCTTTCCCAATACTCAGACCTCACCCCACTCCCTTTTTCTCCCCACTGCTTTCAGGTATTCAGTGTGGAGAATGCTCTGCCGGTTTCTATGGAAATCCAAAAATTTCAGGAGCACCTTGCCGGCCATGCGCCTGCAACAACAACATAGATGTAACTGATCCAGGGTCCTGCAGCCGGGTGACAGGGGAATGCCTTAGGTGTCTGCACAACACTCAGGGCCCAAACTGCCAGCTCTGCAGACCAGGTTACTTCGGATCAGCCCTCAATCAGACCTGCAGAAGTAAGTCTGCAAAGCTCCCGGGGTGGGGAATGTGTCTGAGTGGCACCTTATGAGAGTGGTGTCAGCTCTCCCATGCTCAATTCAGTTAGGCCAATCCCAGCAGGCAAAAGCAGCACCCACTGGGTGATTGGGCTGTTGCACTGAACTCCCCAGCAAAAATGAGTACAATGCTACAGCTGGATTTCTCAGATGCAGCCAGTGTACTCACTGGTGTTACTTGTTTGTGACTATTGTCTTTAACAGCTGAAGGCACTGTTTCTCGGAGCGTGGTCCACAGTGCACTCGTGCCAGAAGCATCTGGGAGCTGGGGGGGAGGGGAGGCCCCGAGAATGAACATGTAGATTCCCGAGCTGTACTTCAGACCCACTGAATCGGAATCTCTGGGAGTGAGGACCAGGAATCTGCACTGTGACAAGATTATCAAGTGACTTTATAAATATGAGAATCACTGATGTAGAAGACAAAGATTTGATTCTATGATAAAGAAACAGAGTAAATAAACTGCTCATTTTCAGGAGATATTTTAACTATTTCAGTTCACCCAAGTCAATTTAGTAAACCATTGTTTTCAAATAATTTAAATAAATGAAACTTTGGTGAGTGGTATGAGGGAAACATGAGACTTTTCGTCATCCTAACTGTGAGTTCTTGGCACATAGTAAATTGAACCATATGAACTTGCTGCTTGAGGAGATCAGAAACCATTGAATCGATTCAGCCTACTTAGTTTCTTTGATAAATCCTATACTATTATAAGGTGTTTCTTCTTGGAGCCCTTTGGAGAAATGATACATCCAGATCTAAAAAGCTGTTCATACAGTTTGTTAAATGCCAGTCTTACCATCGAATTTACCTCTAATGATGGCTTTGTCATCCCAGGATGCTCCTGCCATCCTTCCGGTGTGAATCCAGCTGAGTGTCCCCCTGGTGAGGGAGCTTGCCTCTGTGATGCTGTCACTGGCAGATGCCCTTGTCTGTCAAATGTCACTGGCCTGGCCTGTGACCGTTGTGCTGATGGATACTGGAATCTGGTCCCTGGAAGAGGATGTCAGTCATGTAACTGTGACCCTCAGAACTCCCAAAGTAGCCACTGTGACCAGGCAAGACACTTTAAAACTTACTAGTGCACTCAGAATGAGAACCGATGGTGAGACATGGTTTCCAAGTGTGTAAGGAATGTTTTCTCTATGTACAATTGTTCATTAGAGTTTATAAACAGGATTGGCCTTATAGAGGATAGAGTCAGCATTTATCCAGAAATGTAAGCCCCAGAAAAGGAGAATAAGGCTCTCAAAGTTAAGCTTTGCCTGCTTCCCTTTTCCCTATGCCTCTCTGTGATTGAGGAAGTCAGAATTTATACACAGTGAAACACAGATGCAAACTTCCTCTTCACTATGTCACATAATCACAGAGAGGACCCAAGGAATAGATCATTAATCAGAAATGATTATTAATCAGAATTAAATAGGTGCCTTCAGAATCCACAATTCCATTTATAAAAATTCCCTGTAATTCACCAATTAGGTAAAATGTCTTCTTTGCTTCCAGACCAACATCAAGCTAGTGTACTGGGAGCAAATCTTCAATGTTTCATATACAGTTAGTGCTACGTAAAACTGCACATGTGATTTTCATTCGGTAAAACAACACAGAATTTTTTTAATGGTTGTAACTATCTATTTATGGAAAAAACTATTTGTTAATATGCTTAGATTTTTGTTGTTTTGGTTTCCATCTTTTGGCTTAATGAATCGGTTCTTTGAAACAATTTTCCCATTAATAGAGATTGTGGGGAAAGGGTAAAACAATGACAAGAAATTTTAGAAAAGGTCAAATCCACAATACAGGGATCAGAGTTTAACTGGAATCAAAATGCTGATTTAAGAAACTGGAGTCTTTTCAATTAGTAAGCATGGCTCACCTCCAATTTCAGCTCCACTGTTCAACTTATGATTCAAAGGTCAAATCTTACACAAGTAAACTTTTCAAAGTAGTTCTTATATAGAGAATGTATTTTCCCTTCTCTTCATTTTCTTTCTCTCCAAACCTCCTCCACCAACCCACACAAACACACCACACCCTTATTTAAATAAACTTTTTATTTTAGAACAAGTTTGTAAGTTGTATAGATAGAACAAGGAAAGTATACCCCATATCCAGTTTCTCCTACTATTAACATCTTATATTAGAATGATACATTGTCACAATTAATGATCCAATATTGATGTATTATCATTAACTCCTTAATTTATTCAGATTTCCTTAGTTTTTACTTAATATCTTTTTCCTGTTCCAAGACTCCATCGAAAATGCATTATATTTGGTTATCTTATTTTCTTAGTCTTCTTTTGGCTGTGAAAGTTTCTCAGACTTGCCTTGTTTTTGATGAACTTGATAGTTTTGAGAAATATTTTGTAGAATATCCCTCGATTCAAATTTATCTGATATTTTTCTCATGAGTAGACTGGAGTTATGGGTTTTGAGAAGATGACCAGACAGGTAAAGTGACATTCTTATCGCATCATGTCAAGGGTACATATTATTAACATGATGTCACTATTGATGTGAATCTTGGTCACCTGGCTGAAGTAGTGTTTAGCAGGTCTTTATATTGTAAAGTTAGTCTTTTTCTTCTTTTCCATATGGTACTCTATGAAAGGAAGTCACTGCGTACAACCCACAATTAAGGAGTAGGGAGTTATGCTCTACCTGCTTGAGGGCAGAGTATCTCCAGAAATCACTGGAATTCTTCTGCACTGAAATCTGTCTGTTGTCCCCCATTCATTCACTCATTCAACTATTTATTTATATCAGTATGGACACATGGATATTTATACCGTACTTTTGGTTATAGTCCAATACTATGTTGTTCAGATTGTTTCAGCTTTGATCATTGGAAGCTCTTCCAATCAGCTCCTGTGCCCCTTTGACATAGTCCAATATTGTAGAGTTTTTAAGAGCACTTCCTTACTTTCTGGTACTACAAAAAGCTCTAGGCTCATCTTATATATTTGCTGCCCCAGTCCTAGAATCAGCCATTTCTCCAAGCAGCACTAGTTCCTTTCCTGGAAAATGGTGTTAGAAACCAAGCTCTGGGCACTGGATGACCATGCCTGTTTCATATGCTCCCTTGCACTCCCGACACCTGCAGGCAGCAAGCATGGAATAAATTGGTAGATCTCTATGTGACTGCTTGGCTTCCTAATTCCTGTGGGACTCCTAATGCTCTTGACATCACTACCTGCTTCTTAGACCTACTAGGAAGTATATTTGTAGCAGCATTCAGTGAAGTCTACAGTTTAGGAGTAGCCTACATCTGAAAGTCAGATAAAATTGATTTAACCCAAAAAGTCCCATATAACAAGGGTACTTTGGGTTATTTGGTCCATAGGGGATCCCTCAGGGAAGGTTGCTCTCTACAATCAGGAAACACTTTCACTGGAGTACAGAGAAGACATGTGGACATTTACATTCCCAGCTGTTTAAACAACTACTGATAAATGTCTCTGTGTCAGCCAGAAGGTGGTCCCTGGTGCATTCCCACAGAGAGATCCGAACATGCTCGTCAACATTTTCAACAGTTTAGATGGAGTTGGAGAAACATGCTTCTCAAATTTACAGATATTGCAAAGCTTTCAGCTAATATGATAAAGACAGAACAAGAGGCAAGATATCCTAACAAGCTATCATGTAGGCTGGGAACAAGGAGATGAAATGTTAACAGGGTAAAAGTAAAGTTTTGCAATTGGGGTTTTTTAATCCATTACGTAAATATAGGGTGGGAGTAATAATTTGGCACCAGCTCTTGTGAAAAACATCTGAGGATTTTCATTGTGTGCAGGCTTCCAGGGAGCCAGCAGTGTGGCAGGGCTGCCAAAGAGGCAATGCCTGGGCAGGCTAGAGCAGGGGAGTGCCATGGCCATGTTCAGGACAGTTATTGTCCCATTATCTATTCTAGTGGCCAGACAGTGCCAGGGTCATTGTTGTCATTTCTGAGCACCACATTTTAAACATTATATGGACAAACTAGTATGTGTCCAAAGGAAGACAACCAGGATGATGGGTAGAACCATGCTGTTCTATGACAAAGGCTTGAAGGAATTAGGGGTGATCTACCTGAAGAAGAGAAGCAAAGGCGAGTTGAGGTGGCCATTTCTAGTTGCGAGAAGAGGAAGACTTCCTATTTTATGCAATTCCATAAGACAGGACTCAGGACAATGGGAACAAGTTACAAGGAGGCAGATTCTGCATCAGTGTAAGAGAGCGCTGCCCAGCAATCAAGGGCACTCAGCAATATGACAGGCCATGGCCCAACATGCTCCGCATAGCTCCCTGTGTTTGAGCAGAAGCTCACAAGAACTCCAAAGATGGACTGAAACTTGGTAGATTCGTCACTTTACAAATCCAGCTACTTACGCGCTGGAAACATGGAGTTGTTCTTTAAGCAGAATTGGTCAGGTATAATTTAGGACTGTGACAATAGTGATTTATTTTGTATTTTTTCCTGTTAATTTTTCAACCTCCTCAGTTTTCAGAAAAGCTGCTCAGGAATCCGGTCGGGAAGGTAAAGGAAAGTTCAGCCTTCTCCCCAAACACAGTTAAATAGCTGTCATTAAGCAATTAGGCCTAAAGTACAAAAAAGATGTTGTTGTATTTTTTTTTCAGCAAAATACAAGTGCAGTTGGTAGAAGCTACATTTGTACATTCCATAATGAAAACATTACTTGCCAAATTGATGAATGTTAGACCAGGTCTTTGGCCTCTCTCTCTATGGGGGAACTCCCATAACCATAGAGGAAAAGAATGTGGCCCATTTCCCATCTTGGGTTTTGTTTTCATTTACATCTGTGTATGTTTTCCCGTTTGGGGCCACCTGTCCATGAACAGCTGGAAGCAGGCGGTATATTTAAGAGCCCTAAGCCAAAACACATTATTAACTCCTGATCCTTGGTATTGTCGGGGGGTGGTTGCTGGCCGTGGGAATCAGTCTTCCTCCGCCTTTGCACAGCTGTATGTTCTAAATCACTGGAGGGAAAAATGATTCCTATTAAAATGCATCATGTTTTTAGATCACAAAGCTTGTCAATTTCTCACCCATGACTGTTCTCACAGCTTACAGGCCAGTGTCCCTGTAAAGTAGGCTATGGTGGGAAACGTTGCAATGAGTGCAAGGAAGATTATCACGGTGATCCGCGGGGGCGATGCCTGCGTAAGTATTGGGAATTCTAAAAGCATGTGCGTACTGTCAGCCTGGTCCTGCCATGGGCACACAAACCAGCTGAATTTTAAGTGTCTTTATTTGGTTGTTGCTTTTTAACAATGTGGACTTAAAATTCACAAAGTCTAATATCCTAGTTTTGAAAATAATATTGTTGTAGCCCTATAAAAAAGATGATTTTTCTCCTATATTACAACTTTTAGCCTATATTAAAATTTGTAGTCTGTATTGAAATTTGTAGCCTATATCAAAATTCCTCAATGTCATTACAATGAAACAGACCTCTAAGGATGTGACTTGTAGACAATTTTTTGCTATTTGGAAGCATATTGAGTAAAACGACTATCCCAGGTGGAGGTACAAGCTGGGAGATGGATCATAGGAAGCCAGAAAGATGTTTCCTTGAAGTGACTCTCAAGACTCTGGGTGTGTCCCTTATTCATTTTTTTGTTGCTGTTGTTGAAACAGAGTCTCACTCTCTTCCCCAGGCTAGAGTGCCATGGCATCAGCCTAGCTCACAGCAACCTCAAACTCCTGGGCTCAAGCGATCCTCCTGCCTCAGCCTCCCGGGTAGCTGGGACTACAGGCATGCGCCACCATGCCTGGTTAATTTTTTCTATTTTTTTAGTTGTTTGGCTAATTTCTTTCTATTTATACTAGAGACAATGTCTTGCTGTTGCTCAGGCTGGTTTCGAACTCCTGAGCTCAAGCAATCCTTCCCCCTCGGCCTCCCAGAGTGCTAGGATTACAGGCATGAGTCACCGTGCCCAGCCCTTATTCATTTATTCAACAAGCATTCATAGGATACCAATTGGGAGCTCCATCCTCTCGGAGTTTGTGTTCCAGTGCCTTTCATTCTATGTGCGCCCACTAGTTGTAGGATTTAGAGAGCTGTCCAGTAGAACTTTCTGCAGTGATAGAAATGTTCTGCATCTTCGCTGTCCAATGCAGGAGCCACTAGCCACACGTAGGTAGCTATGGAGTGCTTGGAATATGGAAGAGCAACTGAGAAATGGAATTATTTATTTAATTTAGTCCATTTAAATGTAAATAACCACATATGGTTAGTCACTACCATATTGGACAGCACAAATTTAGAGTCTGGGTTGGTTCTAAGAGGCAGGATGTTTGAATCTTCATTTAAAGTCAGCTTCTAGAAGGAACTCAGTCCAAAGAAATGTCAAATGTGACAGTCTTATCATTGCAGTCACCCCTACGTAGCCACCCATGGTAGCTCCTTCTTCCTCTCCATTCCCTTATAAATGTGCTCTTGTGCCTAAATAATATCACCTTCATTCCCAGATACACCTTCTCAATGATTTTCTCTAGGCTTCATTTATACAGTTTTCTAAGTGGATTTGCTACTTTAAAAACCAGGGAGGAATTTTGGCTCTTGGAAAATCTGTCTTAGAGAGCCTCATTCCCTGTGTCCTGCTAATGTTTCAATAATCTTATTTCATGAAAATGCTTTTTCATCTTTTATAGTGAAGCAGTAGAGGAAACTGCAAATGGTCAACTCAGGCCATAGACCCCACCAAAGCTCCTGGGAAGAGCCACTAATGAGGGAGAAGCGTGGCCTCCAGCTGGTGAAGTAACATAATGCTGCCCCCACGGGGTTCCTGCTGAGGCCTCTGGACCAAGGCTGGATGTGCCAGGCAGATGGGATCTAGTTCAGGAGCCTAGTGTGTGCTAATCAGTTCCTATTTGTAATTGGCATTGCTGTTACTCAAGCTGTCAAATGCATTTTTAAATCACTTGTTCCTTGCAGTTAGTCCAAAGATGTAGGCTAGTGATTCCTTAACCTTTTGGAAATTGCAGTAACACCAATAGATCTCACCATCCTCCATCCTTGGGATTGATCAGAAAGTTACTCAAATAAAGAGCTGTGTGACAACAGTTATTTTTTTTAAAATTAAGACAAAATGAATTTAATTTTCTCCCTACTTTTGAGAATGAAATTAGTTTTCCTTATATAATAGAAAACAACATGGTTCTGTACACCCACGCTGGACTTTACTCAGAAAAAATGTGGTCAAGGGACTTTGTAGAGAGTCTATGACGTGCCTGAATCACCCTTGGAGGCAGTAGCAGCAGAGTTATTACTGTGCCGTCCACAATTAAATCCATGCTTCTCACTCAAATAGATGAAAAACCCATGTGTATACACTCACACTCACACAATAAAAGTGACATCTAATATTTCCCATACAGAAACCATGAACTGATCTGTCAGTGGAACACAGAAAGGCATCTATATTGTAATGGCCATTGCACAGATCTCTGAAACTATTGGTTTTAAATGTTCACCTTAGAAATGTGAGTTGGAAAGATTCCTAGGAGAGAGGAAGGGACTTTATTCTTGAGCTAGTCATAAGCAAAAGACCCAGTGACATTCTCTGCTCCTTCTCTCTCTTCCTTTATAGCATGCGACTGCAACAGGGCAGGTGCCCAGAAGCCCATCTGTGACCCAGACACAGGCATGTGCCGCTGCCGTGAGGGTGTCAGCGGCCAGCGATGTGATCGCTGTGCCCCAGGTCATGGCCAGGAATTCCCTACTTGTCTTCGATGTCACTTGTGCTTTGATCAATGGAACCACAACATTTCTTCCCTCTCCAAAGCTGTGCAAGGGTTAATTAGGCTGGCGGCTAACATGGAAGATAAAAGAGAGCCCCTGCCTGTCTGTGAGGCAGACTTCAAAGGCCTCAGAGAGAACATGTCTGAAATAGAAAGGATTTTGAAACATCCTGTTTTCTCATCTGGGAAATTCTTAGAAGTCAAGGATTATCACGACTCTGTTAGGTAAGATTTGGGCTCAAGTAATAGATAGCCAAACTCATGATTTACCTCAACTCCTACTGACCTTTAACGTTGTCAGTCTTCAATTTAGAAATGCACCTATGGTGACTTTAGGGAACTGATAGTTGTTCAGTTATTAGCCAGGCTAGTAATCATGTTTATCCGCCTTTTTCTTACCTAGTTGGTATTACTTGTGATTTTTCCAGTTGTCATTAATTATAACACAAGGCAATCATTAAGAGGTTAATTGGGAAGCCCAAACCCAGCAGAGCTGCAAGATATGAAACTGGAAGTAGTTTTAAAAACAATACATTTTTTTCAATGATGCACTCAGGAAAATTTGCCCAATCTTCCCAAATTCTTCAGTTGTTTAGAAGTCCATACATTAATGTGAAGTCTTATAACAAGTATGGTAATTCCTTCAAAATGCAAGATCATTTTTATTATATGTTGCCAAATCCTTTTTTCATTCATCAACCATTTCTTGAGATTATGTCGGTTGCTCTGGGCTGGGGGTCAGCAAACTACAGCCCGCAGGTCAAATCTAACACAGTACCTGGTTTCACAAATAAAGGTTCACTGGAACACAACCACCATGCCCATTTATTCACATTTCCCCTGTGGCTGGTCTCCCTCTACAATGGCAGAGTAGAGTAGTTAGGACAGACGCTATGACTCCCCAGGCAAAGTTTGCCAACCTGCTCTGAGCAACACCAGATGAATTGGGTATAGTTTCCACTCTCATAAAACACATAGTCTGCTAAGAAACCCCCAAAAGTATGGGTATATAGCAAAATATCCCTCCTCCCCAATAAAAGTTCCTGGATTAATGAATAGTTGTAGGTGCAGAGTTTTATGTCATACATAACGCAAGTGTAAATATAAGGTCCACTCATTGTGTATAGGCAAATATCCCAGAAATGTATGGTAATCGCTTAAAAGTTACATAAGGAAGGCCAGACACAGAGGCTCACACCTGTAATCCTAGTACTTTGGGGGCTGAGGCAGGAGGATTGCTTGAGTTCAGGAGTTCAAGACCAGCCTGAACAAGAGCAAGACCCTATCTCTATAAAAAATAGAAAAATTAGCCAGATGTGGTGGCATGTGCCTGTAGTACCAGCACTTAGGAGGCTGAAGCAGGGGGATCACTTGAGCCCAGGAGTTTGAGGTTGCTGTGAGCTATGATGATGCCACTGCACTCTAGCCTGGGTGACAGAGACCCTTTCTCAAAAAAAAAAATGTTACGTAAGCAAGAAGATACAACCCACCTAGATAGTTCAGAGAAAGGGCCACTGCATCATAAATGCAATGGCAGGGCCCACGGAGGTCACGGGGCTAGGTCAAACTGGCAGGTGAGAACAGGCACATCTGTACCCCTCTAAAGACTTTTGCACTGAAGGATTTGGGCCCTGAGTTACAGATCTCCCCACTTTTCAAGAAATGTCAGACATCCAGATTTTTATGGAAATATCCACACTTTAAAATGCAGGCAACTAACCCAACAGCACTTGTAAAAAGCCCAAAGAAAACATGTCTGAGGATGAGCTTTGGCCCGTGGACCACTCGTGTATGGTTACAGATATTAGGAAAATGTCAGACAAAGTGGCACCAAGAAAGCAGAATGAGCCAATCCATGTGGACGTTCTGGACAAAGAGACTGCAAGAGGCCCACGCAGAGCCAGAGAGAAGAGAGCAAGAGAAGAGGCATCCCCAGGCCAGGCCTGAAGTGACGAGCCCGCAGATGCCAAGATGCCTGTTCCCTCCTGGTGCACCTGCTGGACTCCTGCTTCTCTTTAACAGCCGCCCAGCACCACCTCCTCCCTGAAGCCTGCCCTGATCTCCTCAGAGAAAGGCTTATGTCCTCTTCCCCACCTTCCCACCTTTTTGTGCTCCTTGGCCATTGCCACACTGGGGGCGCCCCACAGAAGGGGTCGCCTTCTCTAGTGCTTGTCTACTCCAGGTCTGGTGTGGTTATAGAGTAAACATTGCTGGATAAATTACAAGTCAAAGGGGGAATGGGAGGACCCTGACCCCAGAGCTTCATGAGCATAAATTTAGAATCAAACCACCTGTCTCTGGATTTACTTGGGCAAGTTACTTAATTTCTCCAACTTCAGTTTCTTCATCAAAAAGGAGGATCAAGTCTCTATTTTGTAGGATCCTTGTGAGAATTACTTAAGACAAGTCACCTAGCATAGTGTCTGGCACATAGTTCTTGAGGAGTACCAGTCATAATGGTATTAATAATTATTGTTATTTGTATTAGCCTAAAGAACTATAGTCCTGACAGTTGGACCCTGAAGGAAAAGTCTCTAAATTAGAAGGGAGAGTTATCGCAGAAAACAATAGGAAGTATTAGTTAATCCTTTGCAGCTGTGCCAAGATAAATTAGTTCCATAAATTAGTAGTATAACTTCCCTCAACTGTACCCTTCAAGATCTGCACCCAATTTTCCCATCATGAGGGGTATATTCATTATTCTCTTGAGCCAACTGTATGTGCCAAACCCAGCAAAATTGAAGCAGGACAAAGGTGTGCCCCATCCAAGAAGAAGGTGATGGGGAAAAAAGCACACCCAAGGGAACACTCACCAGCAAGAAAACGTCCTTGTCACTCATGAAAACTGAAAGTTAAGACCCTGATAGAAGTAGCGCTAAAAAGAACCTTGCCGAATGCAGATTTATTCTAAATGAAGAACCGAGTTTCCTCCAGGCTGGGTAAGAGGTTCTGTTTTATCATGTGCTGCAAGCTGAATGTAGACCAGCTCTCTTAATTGACTTAAATGAACCATGTCTGAATATAAGTTTTGAAACCCAAAACAAAGGAAGACAGAGCATAAACAGTTAAAATGGAAAGATTTGAAAACATTTATTCTATTAGACCCTGTATGCTGGTCATATTTTAAGTGAATGTTGAAATATTCCAGGAAGCTAAATTAAGAGGAAAGAGGTGAGCCATAAGTAGAATTATAAATTGTCAAATGAAAAATTGGAGGGTAAATGGGAATTCCTTCTAACTGAGAATACCTAATAATGAGGGCACTTTTTTGTGGCATGTTTTTTCCACCAATACATCAAATGTAATACAAGCTTAACCACATTTACCCTCATTTTCTCTGACAGAAAACAAATCATGCAGCTAAATGAACAATTCAAAGCAGTGTATGAATTTCAAGACCTGAAGGAAACCATAGGAAGAATGAAGAATGAGGCAGACCTCTTATTTAAAGACCTTCAGGAAGAAATTGATTTACAATCTGGTGTCCTTAATGCAAGCATCGTGGGTAAGGGAAAAAAATGCATTTTCGACTGTTTTTGCACCAAGTTTGATGGAATCCATAGTGCATTCCATTAGTGAGTCATTCTGTGCTTACCACCATACTGCCTGCACATTTCAGAGCGTGCAAACACACCCATTAAAGGTATTATTTGTTCGTGGATATTTAAACTTTTTAAACATTGCAGAGCCTGGAGGGCATTTGCTCAAAACAACAGGTAAAGTTAACGATGTCTGATACTAAACACATACTAACACCCAATGTGATCTTCTAGTTCCAAACCCGTGTGAGGGATTTCGAGTAATCAGCAACTTAAAAATTCTGACATGGCCACAAGCAAATGAGAGAGATATGTTTCTATGCCTTCCTGGGTATAAACCACTCTATTTCCAATAACCATAAATACAAAGGAATATGAGGCAAAAAGGAATTAAACACATTGCTCATAAGAACTTTTTAGGGATTGAAGTCATGCAACACACTACAGGCCCTTAATTCATTTTGCATAGTTCTTAAAAACTGAATGTGAGCCATGCCAAAGCTAAGTTCAACTTGGGGGAGAAATGGAACTCTGAAGCAAAACTTTGATTAGCTCATCCCCTGTTTAAGATGACATCCCTGTTACGTTTGGGAGTGGACAACCTGCTCCTACCAAGAGAGGCAACACTGAATTCATTCACATCTAACCCATCTAACTGAGAAGTAAAGGGAAAATACACATGAACCCAAGTCGTGACAAAAATATTGGCAGCTTTTCCTTATCCGATGTGTACACTCCTGTTTTTCATCTGATTTTGACCTAAAAAAGAGAAAACAATAGAAGGCAATTAGGAATCCCTAATTGCTCTAAAGGAATGCCTAAATAAATCCTCACCTGGAACAGAGTACCCACTACAAGAACTCAAAATCCATCAGAGGTCACCCCAAGCCAGGTAGAATAAAGTAAAACTGCCCCCATGCTAATCCTCTTATATTTGCAATCCAACAGCTGTTACTGAATTTTTCTCAGTGCTTGGCATTGTGCCGTAGCAATAGGGAGATGAATAATCCAGTATAATGGGGGAGATAAGAATATAAACAACCCCAAACAGCACTTAAGACTGTGTTAGAGCATCTTTCAGCTGCTTCGAAAACAGAGCAGCAAGAACTGAATTCTTCCTGGGTTTACTAGGAAAGGCTGCAGGGAGTAGGTGGCAATTGAATAGGGCTTCACAGGATGGAAATACATTTGCCAGATAAATAAAAGCTGAAAATTTTTCTAAGCAACAGGAACATTTTTTTGATAAACAAAAAACATGATATATTAAGAATATGGGCCAGGCGTGGTGGCTCATGCCTGTAATCCTAGTACTCTGGGAGGCCGAGGCAGGAGGATAGCTTGAGGTCAGGAGTTCAAGACCAGCCTGAGCAAGAGCGAGACCCTCGTCTCTGCTAAAAATAGAAAGAAATTTGCCAAACAACTAAAAACAGAAAAAATTAGCCAGGCATGGTGGCACATGCCTATAGTCCCAGGTACTTGGTAGGCTGAGGCAGGATAAGCTTGAACTCAGGAGTTTGAGGTTGCTGTGAGCTAGGCTGATTCGACGGCACTCTAGCCTGGGCAACAGAGCGAGACTCTGTCTCAAAAAAAAAAAAAAAAAAAGAAAAAGAATATGGTAGGGTAACAACCAGGAAAGTTTAAAAGATAAGATGTGGTTGTCTCATGCCTGAATTGTGGTAATGTAGGGACCCTAAGCCTTCCTAAAATATGGAGTTAAAGTTTGAAGGCTTAATATATTATAATGTACATTAAAACATACCATATTACTTTCATAAATTTGTATTTTAATACAAACAGAGAAAATACAGAGAAGTGCTTAAGAACACAGGCTCTAGAGTCAAACTCCCTGGGTTGAAATTCTGGCTTTACCTCTTACTGTCAGTGAGACCTCAGACGAATAACTTACTTCAGCAGAGCCTCAGTTTCCTTATTAGTAAAATGAAGATGATCATATGAATGTGCATTCCACACTGTTTTGTGAAGATCAAGGAAGAAAACTGATGGGAAGTACAGTACAGGCACATGGAAAGCACTCAATCAGCTGTTGTTAGCTATTGTTCTCCACCTCAACGTCAAGCGCCAGCAAACTACAGCAGGAGGGCACATCCTGCCCACAGCATGTTTTTGTAAATACTGTTCCATTAGAACACAATCTCACATCTTTATTTCCACACTGTCTGTAGCTGCTTTCACTCCACATGGCAGAGGTGACTAAGTAACAAACGCTATGGCTAGACAAGCCTAAAAGATTAATATTCTCCGGCCTTTGCAGAAAAAGTTTGTAAACTCCTGCTCTGTGGAGTTAAGTAAACTTAGTTGGTTTATCATATTTGAGTTTATATAGGTATTCATAATTAATACCTTACATTTGTGGAACATTTTACAGAATATTTTCATATTATCTCAATTCTTACATGTTGTCACCGATTTACAAAATCTAGGAGATTAACTGATTTGCTCAAGGACATACCCAAGCAGTAAAGGGTGAAGACAAGACTCACCCCATGTCTGTGGACTTAAATCACAATGATCTGTATCTGTTATATCCATATCTATTACACTACATCTAATCCTTCTCCATTATATGCAAATTCAAGGAAGAGGATGTTGAAATTCTGCAGTGATCATTGAGACTGAGACAGTATCCAAATTGTGGAATGATTTCCTTGATAGTTAATATATAAATTCATTTGCTTTCACAAAATTTACCTTACCTCAATTTGTGTTGATGTAGACTCCTCAGAAAACATCAAGAAGTATTATCACATATCATTATCTGCTGAAAAAAAAACTAATGAAACTAGTTCCATCATAAATAACTCTGAAAATACCAGGAATGACTCACTCACCATCTTAGATACACTAACATCAAAAGGAAACTTGTCATTGGAAAAATTAAAGCAGATTAAGATACCAGATACCAAAATA